CTGTCTCGTAGAAAACAATGGGAGCCAGCCGGTAAGACAAAAAGGAAAAGTTGTTGTGATTCCGTATGTACACCGAGTGTCGCACAATCTAAAGAAAATAGCAATGCGATCAAATGTAAAGGTAGTGTTTTCTGCGCCCAATAAGCTCATGGAACTGTGCAAACTATCAAAGCCTGGCGTGCGTGCCAAACACGGATGTGAAAAGAAGCACAGAACGAAATTTGTCGACTGTACAGATGGCGTGGTTTACCGCATTCCGTTGTCCTGTGGCAGCCACTACGTCGGGCAGACGGGGCGCTGCCTAAATGATCGGCTTTGCGAGCACAATAACAACGTGCAAAAAAAGAACGGTGGCTTTCTTGACTTGCATTGCAGGACATGCGGTTGTACCCCACTGTTGGATGAATGCGTAAAAATTGGGAAATGCAAGTCAGCGGTAACACGCGAAATCATAGAAGCCGAGCACATTGATTATTTAGGAGACATGTGTGTTGCTATGCCGTCGATCGCATTATCGGAGAAGGAATTGTGTTTCCTGAGAACGAGATAGTGTTGTTTCCCAGTTATGCTCTGTCATTGTGTTTTTCCTTTACTTTTGTCTTTTTGTTGTCATTGTAACGATGGTTGAGACTATATATATACCGGAACACGTTTTCAATAAATCAGTTGAAAGTTGCGCCCTGTTGTGTCCTCTTCTCTGCTTTTGTCCTCGTCTTTGTTGTGCACAAGATTGTATAAGCTATTTTCTCGCACAGAAACGAGCTCTTTTTGCCGGAAACCTAGGTTCGACATTTACATTTCAGGACACCGTGGGGTCAGTTTCTGAGTTTTTTCAGTGTATTTTATTGCTTCGCAGACTGATTTTATTGTGCGAAGCGGCTCGGCATCTCCGTCATCTTTGCTACTCCTACTGGAAGCAGCAAAGCGGTGGTTCGACAGGTCCCATCGCCAACAGCGTATTTCGCTTGATGCCAAGTGCGATCTCCAACGTGCGAATCACCAAGAGCGTGCATGTTCTGTCGGTAGCGCCCACACACCGGTAAAAAACGAGTGATCTTCCTTTGTTTTGGGTATACATTAGACCCCCAGCTGCGGTGTACCGAAGACACGATGGACCGCCTCTTCTTTTCTCTGAGTGACAAAGAGAAAACTTCTTGACCATTGAGGACAGGTGTTCTTTTGCGCTATTTACGTTTTGTCGTGAACCGATGAGTGTGGACCATGTCAAACTGTGGGCAAGAAACCTCCGACGCAGCGCGTGATACCCAACAATTGGCTTTAAAAGACCTACTTCGGCAGTATTTGTATTTTTTTTTTATTCTAATAGACTGTGAGAGACGTTCTAAATGATTATTTCCGTGTTCCAAGGTGTGTTTTTTTTTTTTTTTGCCTTTTAATATATGGCTGTTTTCTCGGCAGGTGGTGGGGTGTAGACGCGCTGACTGTAGTGGAGCAGTACTCCTCCTAGTGGTGCCATGGCCGCATACCACAGAAACACTGAGTGGCTGTCATTTGACAAAATTTGGCTCGTTGGGCGTGACAGGAGGGTCACTAATGTCACCGCGTTATTGGTCTGTATGAGTACTTGCCAGTAATTGTCTTTGCTTAACTAAATTATTTATGTGATTGATTTATTTCAAATTTTTAGTTGATTCAAATGTGTTGATATCATATATGACTGTCCTTTTCCATTCGGATTCGATGGCTTTAATTGGACTTCTATAATCTAAGCGTACAATTGAGACTGGTAAGCTGAAGACGGATGCCAACTGTTAAATTTATTTACATAACTTGTAATAATATTGAGAAAATATAGACGCACTTTGTACTATATATTATTGTGCAGCAAATGTTGTATATCTTAAGAACGGGTTTTGAAATCGCAGTAAAAAATATAGGTGTGAATTTAATGGGCGAGATTGTAATTAATTGGTATTGAGGCTAGACGGACGGTGGAGGAATTCCCTGTTTTAGCAAGAGTATTTCTTTAACCATGCTCAATATTTTAATCATATATCGGTTGAGTTCTGTCGGGAGAATAATACAACAGTAAAAACGCCTGCCTTCTTACATGTGCAACAATTTATTTTAGGCTGCAGCACTGGTTTCATCTAGTATACGCAAGTGTATCTTCTAAAAAGTAATTCAATTGTAATTCGTTGAAGAAAATGGTTGTGTTTTAGCTTTATCGAAGCTGTGGAATTATGAAAGCGTAAAAATGAAACAAAAAACAGGTAGTCCATTTTAGATTTTATACTTGGAGCAAACTAAACCGGTTAATCGATTAGTTAACGAATTAAGAGGCGACGAACAATAGAGCTGCGTTTCATTTCGACATTCACTATCGACAAGCGTTGGAGGCAACTGGAAATGACTGATTATAAAAGGTCCAAGGAATCTTTCGAAATACAGTAGTATGAGGTCACGTAGCGGAATTAGCAAAAAGAGTTGTGGCCTCTAAACCGCTTCACCAGAATTCAGGCCAACGCTTCTGTTTCTTTCAAAACCCCGTCTGCATCCACCTGCATGGGTTCCAATCAAGTTCCTGCCCAGTTCACACCTTGGAATAATGAATCATGGCACTCATTCTTTTAAATTTTTATTCAATCGAAAATTTTAACACAATGTATTGACCGTACAAGGCTTCAGCATAGTTAACTTTCATTGCATTCTTTTATATTTTATTGTACGTAATATTGGCTTGAGATAATCCCAACTGTGGAAAAATGTTTGCACCATGTAAAAAGATTGTGCTAGGGAGAACAATTAGGAATAACAGTGAATGGCTTGTCTACTACAGTTTTCTTGTCAGATTTATTTATTTTGTTCAGTAAAGTGCTCGCTAAAAGTTGCTGCCGAAAATAGTACACCCCTGGTTCAGACCGGATGTCAAAAGTTAAATACCCAGTGGATAACATAAAAAGCCAAATATGGGTCCGTAAATAATTAAACTTGGATGCCAATAATAGTTGTAAAACCCACAAACCATGGTGGAGGGCCACGGATAGCGTAGGGGTTGACTTAAAAGCCAAAGCGCTCCAACTTTGGCTTTAATGTCGGTTAAATGGCGTTCCAACGATTGCATGAACGATGGTTTAACGTTGGCTTAAATATTAGTTGAATCGTGGCCCAACATTTTCATTGGTGAATGCTTCAAAATGGAATAGGGTTGTAGTTTCGCGGAGCCCAACGGTAGGCAAATATTGGAGTTACCACTTGCCAGTGGTGAGCATATGTTGCTCCAACGATGATCCGCTGCATGGGGATATCTCCCGTCCTCAACAAAGGCCCAGTGCTATGATTTTCAATTAATATCTCAAGCTTCTACTAACTCCAGCCTAATTATTTTTACTTAACACAACGCCAAAGAGCAAAAAAGATTTTCATGCAGTTAATCTTCCCGATTTGCAATATAAAATTATAGCACCGATTTGGCAGCGCTAGCCTACTCTTTAGGGTAGGCTAGCGCTGCATGTTTTGTTAGCGGAACTGGCGTACGCTTACCGCCCTACCTCTGCTATTTTGCTTGATCTTGCTTGACTCGTTTGTTTGCTCGTCTTTATTCTTAATAAGATGTCGGTTCCCGTCAAAACGGTCCTTCTGCTTACCATAAATAGTTCGCGATTTTTTTTTTCGGGCCAATTCCTGTTGTAAAATATCTCTCGTGTCTAAGAACTTAACAAAAAAAATGAAAGCCGTTTACAACTGCCTGTTGCGCCGAATTGGAGCGCAGCTTTAGAGGAGGAGGAGGGAAGGGTACTGAGGGGAGGGTATACTCCTCCTCCTCCCTCGTGATCCTGCCTGCTACTCCTCCTCCCCTCTTCCCCTCATCCCCCTCCTCCACCCCTCCTTCTCCTTCACCTCCTCCTCATCCTTCAACTTCCTTCCTTCGCTTCCTCCTCCTCTCTCCTCCCCTTCCTCCTCCACCTCCCCCTTACTGCTGTCCTCCTTGCCGCTCAAGCCGGAAACGGCCGCCGAAGAGCTCTGCTCTGAAATATAGAATCAACAAATATTTTGGCAGGTTGACCTGCTCATCCTCCCTGCTCCCCTCCTTTCCCCTCCACCCCTCAGGGGGGTCACGTGATCTCGGGGGAGGGAGGGGGTCACGTGACCCCGGGCCTAGAGGGGTCACGTGACTTGGGGGTGTCGCGTGACCTGGGGGGTCACGTGTCCTGGGGGGTCACGTGACCTCACGGTTACGCCGACGCCGCTCAAGCCGGAAACGGGCGCCTAAGAGCTGCGCTCTAAAAACTTTTTGATGGGAGCTTCGTATTCTAACAAAAGCAACGATTTGTGGCACTTTATTTCACAGGACAGTCTTTTTAATATTGGTGTTTTCAACAATTACTAAATGTCAGGTAATGTGTGATCCTGGTACATCTATAAACTTGCTTAGCTGAATGCATTTTACAATCTACCGGTCAGGAGACCACTATCAACAAATTGGATCTCAAATTCGTAAACACAGCTAAAATCGCCAGAATTACTGTCATCATATTGTTAAGATGACCACGATTGTAAAAATTAAAAACAACGATAGATGGGTATACGAATAGGAGTAGCTGAGTATTGCTATTTCTTTAATAAACTAATGCATTCATTATTTTTTTAATTTTTATCTGTTGCGTTATTCTCCACATAAAACCGCATTTTGCTATGCGGTGTTCTGCAGCAAATACTGTGGATCTTGAAGGTCAGTTACTGTTAACTGGGTTCGATTGGGCACGTTTGAGGGTTTAAAGAAAGTTGACTTGTAATTTAAAGGTTTGTGTTCTAAATAAGAGAATACATTCACCAAGTAATTCACAAAACCGTAGTGCATTTGTATATATAATATACTCACAGCAAATAAAATGCGTGTTTTTATTATTTGTGGTTTTTATACTAATCGTGCATACTTTATTTCAAATACGTATTTCATATATTTTTCTTGTTATCTATATATCCCTTCCAGTTGTACGTAGATATCGTTTGGGACGTACCAGTTACAAAAGAAGAGCTTATGGGAACGATGTATTAATTGTGACATTTACTTTCTTCAGCAGGGAAAAACCTGTTGAAGAATGAAAACAATTTAATGTGTTATTTTGTTGTTAGGAGCAAAACACTGGTAGATATGAATATAAATTTCGGAGTAGAATCGATGCAATAAAAATTTGCTTTCCAAAAAGTAAGAACCAATTCCCCTTCGGATAATTATTACCTACAATGAATAAACAAATCTTTCTAGCATCTTTTCTGTCGCCTTCTAATTAATGAAATAAAAATGCATTTCAGGAACTAATTTTTTAGAGTGTAGAAGGTGTGGGAGTGATTTATACAAATAACTTCACTGAGTGCATAAAAATAGATATTAAAATGCTGTTCGAAAGGCTCGGTGGTGCAAAAACACTACAGTTTTTTCAGGCGTGATGTTAAAACAGCCCGTCCAGTTTTGATGCAAAGCCTAGAAAGAGATGCCACGATAAGCCTCGCGTGACACCTAAGTAAACACCCGAGATTCTTCACGTGTTCTGCCGGTATTCAGGGGTGACGCGGCGGAAACAAATTAATATATGTGATGGTACTATTTAATTAAAATTTAAAAAAATTCATGAGGCCGGGTCTTCAAAGCACACTCCGGCCGAAAAACCAGAGGACTTTCAGAGATCGCCACATGCGCGTCTTATGCTACAATTTGTGCTCCTCACTTTGCCCCTTTCTGTACATCAAATAACAGTTTATTTATATATTTGTGCATCGCTCATATTGTCCTGGCGGGCGAGGGCCACGTTGTTCGGGATTTTTACCACTCATAACATGAAAAGAATTTGTTTTAACATTTATGTTTCTTGTCCCAATGTGATAATTGTCCCCTATAGAAATGAAATTATTTTCCCTCTACAACCAAACGAATGATATATAGATTATACAGGGTGTTTGATTTTAATTCCATAAAATTGTAAATGGGTAAGTGAGAGTTAGATAAGCGCCATCTTCACAATACATTTATAAGGCTCGGCGGACATAACATGTGGAGATAATCGTCAGGGTAAGTTGACTAATTTATTAAAACCTGTTAATTAACCTTAAATGAATGGTTTTAAGGGTTATGCTGCAATTGCAGATTGACGGCAATTACTATTGAAAGCCAGAGAAATTTAAATATTTTGAATAAAGATTTTTTTTAATATTGATTGATTCATTTTGCGCGTTTTCTTACTCGATTTAAAAATTGCACGCGAAATAAGCACCCGGATCCCTGCCGACAATGACGCTTAGGAAAGTGACGTAGACGTTTCAGTCACGTGGTCACTTGTGTCATCGGTGCATCCACCAATGACGCGCCGCTGAGATAGTGGCATCTACATATTGTATCCAAAACTTGATAGTAATTTGAACTAACTTTGAGAAATAAAAAAATGTACAGATTATGCTAAACAATACGAACTATAATAAGCATTGTTTATACTCGTAGCTGTATACGTACCAGAGCAATTTCTTTCACACTCTCCTTTTGTTTCAAAATTGTTGCCATTACCACTGATTCCACCATAGACAAATGGTGTGCAATTTGCAGTTGTGGTATCAAAGAAAAACCTTGGAATGTAAGCTTTCCCTAAACCATCATCTTCTTCCAGGGAGCAAGGTGGCTTCGGTGCATCTTGTGGAAAATATTTCGTGAATTATTTTCTCATAGATGTCCGATATATTGCATTTCTATGCATATTTTACCACCTACTGCTGTGGTATTGAGCATAAATAGGGGAATGAAATATCTTTTAATGAATATTTTTACTTTTTTACTGCCGGCGTCACTTTATTTGTTATTTAGACGAGTTCTCTAAATAATTCGATATTAATATTGCCTGATTCATTACACCGGATAGTTCACTATATTTATAGACACTCTTAAATTTCGTGCGCAGCAGAGTTCGCAACGCTGGTGGCTGTACACAGAGGAATGACGTTAAAGTGCTCACCGGCCCAGTTCTTCGTATTAAGAATTTTTCTTCTGGAAGGCTCCAGTTCTTTCTCAGCTGTTGAAGTGTGTTCTGGCTCAGAACCTAATTCTACAAAGCGCGTGTATTAAAGCAGTGACGGCGCTCTACCTTGGCTCAGTAGCTGTTTCGAAGCTGTCGCGGAATGTACGATTTTATTTTGCTGAGATTTAAATCGTCAAGGTAGCAGCTGACCTTAATAAACATTTATTTTTATTTTCCTCTTACACTTTTCACATATATTTTACCCGGAGAATTTTTTACTTTACTCTACTTCACCTACGTATACAGTAGTACCAGAGATGGCAGTAATGACATTACTGTAGTGGAATTACAGTAATTAAATTACTTTTTGGAGTAGTAAGTAATGTAATGAAATATTTCTCTAGGCTAGCAATACAGTAATGTAATGAATTACTTTCAGGTAGTAATTGCGAGAAATTACGCATTACTTCTAAAATCACTCTTGTTCTCGATTGGGAAATTTGTATGCAAGCTTTAAGAAAGAAGAGAAAAATTATTTTGCATGGTGAAATGTTGTGAAAGAGCAACAGAGGAAATAATCGACGGCCACCTGAGCGCAAGGCCTTGTACGAAGAGCTGGACAGACGCACAAAGGAGGGCTTGAAAGGCGAAGGAGAAAAGCTTGCATGTAGACATCACTGGGAGGCAACAGCTTATGAACTCCAGGCACGACAGATTCACGGCGTCCCGTCATCACGACGATACTATACTTCGTTCATCCCTAAGCTGACAGTGCGGTAGGAAATGAAAGCCAACCAGAACTAATGAAACACCTTCTTTTAACCACCTGTCCCTTTCTCTGCGCGTGGGTATGAACGAGAGCGTCGTTACGTGGCGAACGATAGACGTGTGACTGCTCCAACAAACACGTAGCCGCCACCGTTCATCCCTAAGCTGACAGTGCGTCAGCTTAGGGATGAACGGCTCATAGGCTACAAGGCGATGGGCAAATCACCAGTGAGTTAGACATAATATAAAACCTGAGAGGACAGGACAAACAGATCCCCAGCCTTGTGCTTTCGTTAAGCAAGGTCAAACCGTAAGCTTCGACCATTGTGAACAACAAACAACCGGAATGAATAGTTAATTCCAAATGCCTTGTCAAAGCCCCAGAACGTTTCGTGCGTCCTCGAGCAAAGCAGGTGCCGCTCGCGGTATGCCTCGCTGCCTTCCCTTGGAAAGTTTATTCGGAAATAGGGAGTTTAAGAATAACGTACGCAATTTTAGCGCACGCTAGCGCTAAATTTAGCGCTTGTATTAGCGCACGCGACGCAAGAGAGTTTTAGAATAGCGTTCCTCCGTGGCGACGCAAAAGCCCAAGCGGCTCGCGCTTGCGACGCCACCAAGATACAGTCACAACTTTTATTTCACACACGAAATGCTGTAACTTTAGAAACAAAAGTTTTTTTTATTCACAGTACTTTTTTAGATTTGTTTAAACATGATAATGCGACGCGAGCGGTTGGCCGGTCGTGTCCGCTTGCGTCGCCTCAGCAAGAGAGGTCTCGTGTACTGACCTTCGCACATCGTACCTTCGCCGAGAAATGTTCCCGCGTCGCAAGCATCAAGTTGCGGGGATCGTTGCCAAACCAAGTAAATGTCGTCCCGTATTGAAAATCATAGTCGCGAGGATGCCGCCGACGTCGCACTCACGACGCCGCCAAAGCAGCCGCCCAAGCCGCCATTTTTTAACTCTGCTCGTCTTGGCTTTAGCCAACTTCTCATCACGAATCCTCCTTGGAGAAGCGCAAAGGCTCTTTGCGTACGCACGCTATTTCCGAGAAATATCGCACGCTAAAATTGCACACGCAAAGTGCAAAGCCTGGTTTGCGTTCGGAGCATGTGCAGTGGCGACGACGCTATTCTTTGCGTACGCGAAGCTTTAGCGTGCGCCATTCTAAAACTCCCTAATAAGCCTACAAGCAGATATGGCCCCCGTTTGTTGGGAAAGTACACAATTTAGGAAGCTCGCGCCATTCCCCAACTGGCGACGCTTCTGCTTAGCAATTATCCGGGCCCTTTGTGTGACAATGTGCAAAAGCTTCGACTCTTCGGGTGTTTGAAAAATGCTCCTTGAAAGGAATAACCGAGAATAGGTCAACTATACTCGGCGACAACTTTTCTTGGAAATGCAGTGGAGGGTACAGGCACGCGTTCCCTCTCCCATTTTGAGCGCTGAATAAAGCTGTGCGCGGGCTCTCCTCCTCTCAACTGCACTGCCAAGGAGAGTTGTTGCCGAGCACAGTAAGTGGCTTTAGGAGAATAGAATTAGATTGCGTCTGAGGGGGGGGGGGGGGGAGGCGGAAGGGAAACGTTCCACGTGACGACTCCTTGTAAGAACGAGCTGCCATTGCCCGACTTAACCAACTGACACGAACTACAACTTCTAAATTAGGAAGACAGAGAGATATCGCCCTTTTAGTAAGAACCTTCACCGTTGAATGAAGAGCGAAACCCGTGAGTCGTATCTAAAGAAACTATTCACCGTGTTTAACACTTATGTCGTGTGCGCCAGCAAAACCGCTGTTCAGTATGGTTCACTTTGAGGCACCTAAGGTTGTTGCGGTGTAAACAGGAAGATATGAGTTTTGGTACATATAGTCCAACTCAGCTCTTTGACGTCACATCACTGCGGTGACACCGCTGTCGGCACTGCGCATGCGCAGCGCCTCGCTTCTCTCGGATATGGTTACTGCACACGCCCTGTGTGGGCAAACAAAGGCTTGTTTTGTAAACACTGAGTTGGTGTATAGCATAAATTAAATGAGCACGAATTACTGCCTTAAGTTATTCAAAAGTAATGTCAAAGTAATTTTAAAGTAATTTCATTGCTTTTGGAAAGTAATTGTAATGTGATGTCATTACCTTTAGTCTGCGGTAATTTGTAATGCAATTTCATTACATTGTAGCTGTTTTCAAGAAAGCAATTAGTAATGTAATTTAATTACTTGTTTAAAGTAATTTTGCCATCTCTGTACAGTACTATATAGGTGAGAGCGCTGCAGGCGTAAAGCGTGGGCGCGATATCCCCGGGACCTTTCTCTTTTAGTTTTCGAGGATTCCACAGATTTAAAATGAAAGCGAACAAAGTAGCAAACACGTTTTATTTGTGTGTTGCTCAATGCGCTCTTCAACTCTAAAATTCACACCTCGGCCTTCAAGCGAATAACTAAAAAGTTAGCTACCTAGTCGTAATTAAGTAAATTATAAAGTGCACTAAGAAACGTTTTTCCACTTTTGTAAGACGGGTGCTAACAGCACAGTTGGATTTACTCCCGTAAAGCTCACCGGTTTTTTTGTGTGTGTTTTTAAGCTTCGTGAAAATTATCTAGGTCACCCTTTTTGCATATATGAATATGCAAGCCGTTTAACAAAACTTCGGCAAATTCAACATTGCAAAGACTACGCATCGCACACGCACACAAAAAAGAAAGCCTGATGTATTTTTGTTTTCTGCCCAGGTGTCTGGGGAAATTAATATACATGGTTCCGAATATTTAGGCCATTCAATATTTATAAGTAATTATCTTATATAATTATTAAATTTCAGGCCATGGCTTTAATTAGAAAATTGATGGGCATCATTAAAGTCTAGTAAGTCCACCCACAATACAATGATTTACTGCATGCGCAGCGATTTACGAAGTTCAGAAAAAATTATTAAATTGAACGCTTTTGTATGTTTTGGTCTGTTAAACGAAAAGCACCTCCGCGCCTACAATTCCTCTCCCCGCGGTCAAAACGGAAAAGGTGCGTGCGACCCCACACACGTTTCACAACCTCTTCCCCAACATTTAACATGTAGGGAAAAACTCAAACTGCAAAAGGTGGTGTCAATTTAAACAATACAAAGGGAGCTTTAGTATCTAACAATATTTCCTTTACTCTATACAACCATCAATTATCCTTTTACTACTTGTGCCGTTTTTGTTTGACCATTCATTCAAATTGTTTTTGACTGCGCTCTAGAAAAAGCACTTGCGTCTACTTTCCCGCACAGCACTCGGTGAGCCAATCACCGCAACTTACGGAGGCAGTTCAGAACACACGTTTAGACTAGAAAACCCACTATGAGTTGTGACATTAAGCTAGGCGCTTGCATTGCTTAATGACACAACTCAGACTGCGTTTTTTGGTATAAACATGTTTCGGCATCATCATTTGTTGAGCTGCCTCCGTAAAGGCCCGTTCACACTCTTGCGACCGAGTACGACTGAGAGAGACGAGATCTCTTAAAACTTCTTAAATGTTTTTAGAATGACAGAAAATTCTGGCATTGTGGCGCCATCTATGCGGTGTCCCTGGAACTGCATTTCACAAGAGCGAAGGTTTTGCGGGATTTCCGAGGTCAAATGTGCGTTATACCCATAGAAAGGCTCGTTTATAACATTGACAAAAGTTTTTCGAGCCAAGAAAGAAAGGATAATGCGCGAGAAATAAAAAAAATATGCCGGACCGTGAGTTTACACTGCTTTCCAATAGATGGCGCCAGTGTGTTCTCTGGTTTAAGAAGTTTTAAGGAACCCAGGTTCAAGAGGTCGCAAGAGTGTGAACGGACCTTAAGTTGCGGTGATTGGCTTTCTGAGTGTTTTGCGGGAAAGTAGACGCACGGCCTTTTTTTAGAGTGCTTGGGTTTTTTAGTCAGTGCCATGCAAATAATCTAATTAGTGTTTATCGTAAGCCCACTCCAATATTAATATGCACGATTCGTAGAAAACTGTATGTTGTATCAGCTAGGGTTAATAACGAAGTCAGTCGTTTGAGTATTGATTAAAGTGTAGTGGATCAGGCTATTTTATCCTAAATGTTTTAGACTTGAAAATACGAATTTCCAAACTCTATATGTTATTTGAGCTCACCAATCCCACTTACAACAAAAACACTTGTCTTTACATTTTCTTTTTAACGGAGTGATTTCCCGAGCATATTTAGCTTTTGAAGTGTTATTGTAGACCTTACAAAATGTACTAAACTAAAATTGCTATTACTCACGAGTGAGATATGATAGATTACATTACATTACCTTTCGACGCTGAAAGTATTTGTAATATACTTAAAATATTTACACTTATGTTAAACATTCTGAGAAACTCGGGGAGCACCAAATGTGTTGTGCGTCAATTATACGCGCGTCGTGATTTGTTATGCTTGGTCACGTGGAACTTTGGGTGGTTCCAGATGCGTTAGACGCACGACATACTCATTTCCTGTCTAGGTTATTCAACTTGATCAAGACAGACTTAAAGTTATTCAGGATGAAGACTGCAAGAAGTATACTTTAATTAAACGTTTTTCTGGAATTTTTTTTTTTGAAAACTGCATGTAACACTTTGATTTTTTGTGCTCTTGAACTGCGATGGGCACCTTGTTTTAAGTGAAGTGATTTCCGTTTGTTATGACGTCGAACAGATCAACGTATATTCCGTAGACCCTAGCCTAAACAAAGTCCACTCCTAATCTTTGACATGCAGGGTCGCTTTCGCATGACAAGCTCGAATCGCTTGCACGCAAACTACGGGAACCCCTTCCCCCCCCCCCCCCCCCCCCCCCCTCCCGATACTTGTGATTCCGGAGGACGGCAATGAAGTCGGCGCAGAGGATTTTGGACATTTCGCGTTTCCCACAAACATGTTGTGTACAAGCGACTTGAGCTCGTCAATCAAAATAGACCTCGCGTGTTCACGACCAGAAGTAGGAGGTGGAAAGCGAAGGTCTTCACGAGATCTTTCGACACTCCGCCTGAGGCGGGAGGGGTTTCACGATGTGGACGGTGACATCAGCTATATCACATGGTGCCGCATTTCGAAGGAAGGAGGAAGTTTTTTTTTGGCTCAGTTACGCTATTTTTTTGGTGCTGTGAAAAATCGTAGCATCAAAAGCCCTCTGCGATATCCGTTGATGCCTTATGATTCGCACCATGACGTCGTGAGATAACCTAAACCACTGCGATTTGTATTTGGGTACCAGTTGCGTCTGTGACTCATATTTAGTCCAGGTTCTTAAGCTTTTGCTTGCCTCTTTCTCGTGTTGCCAAGCAAAAGTGTCGCAGTACGAAGCAGACGGTCCGGGGGACGTTCAAGGAAGAGAGCAGGGTCTGAACATCGCTCCCTCGCCATGGAGCAAGTGTGGCGAAGGTTGGCTCGCATTTCTAACAAAGATCTTGAGACGGCGTAGCACGTAAGCGGCCAATGAGACCCAATGCAAAATCCGTCTTCATTTGCACACACGTGTACAGGGCCCAAACCCAAAAGTGCTCCTGTAAAGAGATGCGCGAAGCCCGAGCAAAATTTTGCCGCATTGGCTGGCCTAGCTCAGACACGTCTTCCTTCTTCCACCATGGTCCGGGATTCGATTTCCGCTTCGCTTCTTCTTAAACCTATTCAAACGCACTTAATTGCGATTATATATTATTAATTATCTCAAATAATTTCTACTGATTGCTTTGCAAGCTTATGCATTACCTGCATTAGCTAAAGTATGCTTTGTACCGGGAGGGAGCTATAGGACCAGTCAAGCAGCTTGTAGAGCTTTTTTTCTCAGCTCCCACCATATTAATTTGGTAAATAAAGCTAGGTTATTACTATTAATATAATTATGTTGCTTTAGCTTACGCATACAACTGTGTTCACACCACAAACGCAACGCGCCAACCTTTCATAACATCCACAAACGTAAGCGTGACAAACGTAAGGGTTTTGTTCACAATAGGAGCAAAAAATCACAATTTGAGCAACTCACGCAAAATTTGTGAGTATGAGTGTTAAACGGTCATCAGATTTTATGCCCGTCCCCTTACAAAAATTATCAATGAGTTTGTATTGAGTTTCTAATGTATTTTAAAAGAATACATTAGAACCTCAATTGAAACATTGACAATTTTTTAAGGGAATTAACCATGTAACCGTACGCCTTTGTCAGTGCTCGAGATGGTTTCACTTTGCTTCAAACCGCTACGAGCTTCCGGTTTCCCGACAGTCCAGAGGGGTGATGCTGGCCACCGCTAGTGATTTTACGGACGGTAGCGTGCAAAATATACAAGTTTGAGCTCCTCATGTTTTGCAGTGAGTCATTTGCCGGCCTGTGCTAATGTGTGTCTAGAACTACGTCAATTGCTTTAATATTTAGTTGGCTTGTCGTAAAAGACTTAACCAAGGTAGATGAGAGACATGCCAGAACAAAGCCAGAAAGAGGGCCGACATTTCACTCCAGCTTGGCGCATTTTCCGGCGGGGGCGCTATTGGTTTTGGGCCTTCACTCTGGCGCGGTTGCGCACCGCGAAGCCTTAAGAGCGTTTTCTTGAATACGGGCGGTTCTCGAGCCCTTAATGATGTTGCAAATTCCACGCTCATATGTGCGAACGAACCTTGGACACAATTATTTTAAGGCGACGCGTCGTAGTTTTGACAACTCTCTTATTCATCGCGTCCTTAATTTACGTAGCGATTAATATGGACGAGACGACCGTACCCGTCAATGGCAGACCTTGTAGTAGATAGGACAAATGCTATTTTGATGGAAGTTGCGTCCACTGTCTCAATATATTGTTACAGTTTTTGTTCTGCTCGTGCATTAACATTTTTGCTTGAAATACAGCCATTAAACACGATCAAAGGTAAAGTCCAGTTTTTGTTGTGCTCGAGCATTAAGATCTTTCTTGAAATACAGCCATTAAACACGAGCAAAGGTAATGTCACTCTCATAAAGACTAAGAAATCAGAATACAAAAAAATACAGGTTGTACAGCTAGCTTGTGCTAAGACTTAAAAAAACTGGTGCACTGTACGGGTGTCGAACTAACGCAGTTTGGTCCACAGACCTGTTTAGCAAATTAACATATTTTTCCTACAGGTCATACTGCATAATTAACAAAAATATTTAGTTGACCTTTTAAATATTAAAGTCTGCGAGCTCTCCTATACCAAAGTTGTAGAGCGTGTTGATAAACATCTCATCATGTTGTTTCCATCAACGTAGCCTTCGTATGTTACATTGAATTATTTTCGCGTACAAGATTTAAAAATATCCCCGTGACAAACGTTACTAACAATGCAGTCTAATACCAGGTAATCACGTAAGTTTTTTTTTTTTTTTTTTTTAAATCTCGCACAAAAGTTTTGTATTTTTTTTTGAACCTCAATAAAATCAGACACACAAAGCAACCGTTATGGAAACCAAACAATGAAATGTTTCTCACCACCAACTACATTTTTTTTTGTATTAGAGGGTTCGGGCTCAAAATTATATTTAGGAAGTTGGCGTATCAAATTATCTTAGACACAATGGCACATCGCAAAATGTCTTAACTTGCTTAATAGGGCAGTGAGCACTGCTACACTGGTTCAACACCCGTAGCGTGCAAAAGCTTTTTTTTTGTGTGTGTGTGTGTTGCCACCCTGTAGATTATGCAAACGTTTTCGGTAGAGGCTTACCGTTGCAAGATTCGTTACACTTCTCCATGCTCTCGTAAAAATTTTCGCCTCCTGCACAATCTGTTCCATTTCGCAGCTCGCACAACCCCGTCGTTCGGTTGTATGAAGCATGTGTTCCATCTTTTCTTTCACACGTTACTTCGTCAGGATCAAGACAGGACACCCAGGCTTCAAACTCGTAAATATTCATGTCGCTCACACCTAGGATTCGAGTTGGTTTAAGTAAATAATTATCTTCATTCTATTCATTTTGGAGCATTTAAAGCAACAAGGATGGACAAAAAGATGGCATGATATTAAAATACAAATAAAGAACATTTCAATAGAAACGTTTTTATTTACAAATTCAATCGGATTTTTTTTTATATTTGTACAAACAATAAGAAATACGATGATAAGTATTCGATTATTTTTTAAATAATTCCAAATACGTATGCTTTCCATGCCTAAGAAGAGACGTCATAAAATAAAAAAAACGAATTGCTTAGTAACGACTTAAGTCTATATCGAATCAAGAGCATGAAATGAAAGGACAACTTTAACAATAAAATATATATGATGTGTCAGCTGGTTGATAAGGCGGAATATATCTTCGGTGGGAGCCAACAATCTGTGGAAAGCAATTAATCCTCCGCGTAGTACACTCAGGTATGAAAAGACTATTAGTGCGACGTCTACTGCAGCCCAAATTGCCTACCCACCTACAAATTGCAACAGCGGCAGAAGCACCTGTTCCGGGTCGACGAACTGAACCACCACAAGCAGACAATGGTGAATCTAGCTACCGGTGTCAGCTAACTAAAGCCTAAGTATTGGTAAGGAAAATGCTCCACCTTCGGGAAGACGACACTATAGTAAGGTGAACTCAAGGACCCGTGTAGTTGGAAACCTCCGACAACGAGTCAGCCATTTCCCTTTAGGAAAATAATATGCCAAAATCATTAATGCCGCTACGCTGATTCGCGACAAGATACGTCAGCATTTAGCGCAGGGGTTCGTTGTCTTCGGAAATCCAGTTTGTTTTCCCGAGCGTCGGCAAGTTCGGATACAGCCACCATATCTTCCCTTGATTTTCGCCTACGGTTCGTATAATGTTATCATCGGAGTGTCAGTCTGCTTCTCCCGGACGTCTGCGGATTAGGGTGCAGCCACCCCAACTTCCATTGGTCGCCGCCCACGGTCGGCAAACAGTTGTCTTCGAAGAGCCAAACTTTCCTCTCTGGTGTCGGCAGTTTCGCGCAAACAGCGTTGCCGCTGCTCCTCGGTTTTGCTTTGACGTGTAAGTACTGCGGAAAAGAAACCATGTGCTAGCACCCCGCTGTCATCATAAGAGGAGCGCACGTCAACATCGGCGCGTCATTGGAAGAGTGGGGGAACTCTTCCAATGAGTGGAAAGTGCACATGTATATAACTACTCCGAACCAAAAACGACTGCTTACACGAGGGCACGAAATGCTAGCGCATTTAAACGGCCGCCATCTTAGGCAAGTCATTGACATCTTGAATTGAACATCTCAGATTTTACCCTGTGGTAAATGGCATCGGCGCCATGGACCAGAAGCAATTGCTTCTATTAACGTAGCGCAGTGCAGTGACTTAGGAGAACGTACAAGCTTTTTTGTTATCCAGGAGCTATGGAGATCATAAGTTCGAAGGCCTCCTGGCAATCTTTGGCACTCGCTAACATACTCAACGTTTGAAGCTCCATAGCTGGTACAACTTTCAGCGGCGAAACAAACTACCGTACGAGTCGATAAACGGCTACCTTGATGCTCTCGAAAAAACGGCTGGCGATTGCAATTTGGTTGTCGTAGCCACCGAAACTGCGCATGTGGTATCGACGACGCCGCAACAACCTGCGTCACAACAAGCGTCTGGTGAAGCGGCTACGACTAGGCGGCGATCAACGACACAACAGAACGCCGAACTCCCGGTGGACGTGATGCTGCACAACAGGTCTGTTTGCGGCATCTCCCCACGAGGTTCTACATATCCGCCTTTAGTTTAGCGCCCTTTAAATAACAAAAGGGATCGAAGACAAAGATTACCAAATAAACAAGAAAACGAAAGCAAGCATGGATTCTGTTCCGCACAAAAAACGTCGGTGCTACTCATACACAGTTGAGCATGTACTACAAATGGACGATTATTTTTTAATACTTGTCATTGCTATTGCTGAAGAACGCACATCGGAAGGGTATGTAGTCCAACTTGCAAGCACAAATGCAAATCGCGACAGAATAAAATTATGCAACGTTGAGACTGTGCCTGAAGTGGAGAGAAAGCCAGCGTGTTCTCGAGGATGCTTGTTTTATAAACAGAACAAGCTGGTACACAAAGACACAAATCCGAAGCTTCCCGCTTTCCTTCAACATGTGAAGAGGCCGCTTCAGTACGAACTTAATTTTTACTAAGTTTGTTCAGAGACGACTGATTTTGCTCAATCAAGTTGTAGAATTCGCCATTGATCATAAAGAACGACTTGTAAATCTATAATTGAAATTGTGAGGGCATAAAACTTCTGGGCTCATTTTAAGTGCGTGTGCGCTTCGAGTCTAAAGGCTACCTCCTACCGTACTGTTCATAAGAGGGTCCAGCGGCTGCCTTTTCCTCATAGGATGGTTCGACGAGCTCCACATTCGCGAGTACAAGGAATTAACCAGGTTCAGCAGGAGACCACGCCGGCAAAGGTGAAATTCTTCAAGGCAAAGGCGAAATCCCTCAAGACTCACCTCTTTAATTTGGCACTTCGCACAGCTGGGGCTTATGAGGTTAAAGAGCCACAGCTTCATGAAATAATTGAGCCCTTGAGCACTCTGAATGAAGTACACTACTCGTACATGTAAAAAAGTGGAGCCATCTGACCCTGTGGCGACTACAGAAGTATGGTCAACGCCACATCACAAAGTCAAGGTATACCTGTTGGCTATTACATTTAAAGTGCTGTCAAACCTTAGAAGATTGCCCATCTTCTCCTTCTTTGAATGTGCCACCATACCAGTAGCTATAAGTAGCGAAAGAACTGCAGCAGTCATTGCAATCAAAACAAATTAAGGATTGTATAGAGTGCAAGACTGTCGTTTGGAATTTGAGCAGCCGATGCTATCATCAAACAAACGATTGAAGCAACAGCAGCTGGCATACAAGAAAGCGGCCTTTCCCAAGAGGACATCGTTATGACTAAATCAATGAAATATAAACACATTAAACGTTAAGGTCAGTTACTGTCTGGGCTAGCACTGAGATTATCTTATAGAAAATTCAGGTTTGCAGTTGTGATTGCTAAATTACTGAGATACAAAATGCACAAGAGCCGACACGGACCAAGTGATTGCTAACGCTTCAAAAACAGCAGGTAAAACCAAACTCCAAGCCTTCTCGGGTCACGGGAATTTGAATAATCGCTTTCTCAAGAAGAGACTTGAAGTCGTCGCAGGCCCGTGGATGCTACTCGGGAACAATGTACCATGTGTGTGTGTGTGTGTGTGTGTGTGTGTGTGTGTGTGTGTGTACGTGTGCGGGCTTGCGAGTGTGTGTGCGTGCGTGTGTGCGCGCGTTTGCGCGCGTGTGTGTGTGTGTATGTGTGCGTGTGTGTTTTACGTTGTGGACGGTCTTGGGAGAAATGTATAAATATGTTGTGAAAAATAAATTTTGTTAGCTAAGTCTGAGACGCTTGTCTGTCACGTTTCTTCTGTTTTATGTAATGTCTTTAAGTTTCCTTCCCAGTCTCAGGTTTTAAACATCATGATTGCCGGAATCGGTTACTTTTTAGTAATTTCGTAACCATTTCATTACCTTCATTTGGAAGTAATCACAGCAGCACGCTGACTACTTTTGGAAGTACTAAAATTGCTTGCTATTGTTACATTTGCCTCTCCCGCTTCGTTTTGTTCGTACACATGTTCTACCAAGGAATCTTCAAACTGAATATTTGGTCAGACATTAATATGATTAATTACGCCGAGAATATTAGCATATTTATAAACGGAAAGGTATATAATGAAACAGTCAATAAAGCAAATTTAACCTTACAAGAACTGGACGAATGGACGTGCCAAAATAGCATAGAAATAAATACAAACAAAACTAAAGCAGTCTTATTTCATAGAAAAAATAAATATGTCGCATTAAATCAGTCAATAGTGCTGAATTCGACTGCCATTGCAGTTCTATCTAGTCTTAAGGTACTAGGGGTTATTTTTCAAAAAACTTGGTCGTGGAATACACAAATTGATACCGTAGCCGCTAAGCTGTCCCAAATAGTTGGACCTGTATGTCGTGATCAACATATACTGCTACGAAATATAATGATTTTAATTTATAATAGTCTGTCGTCATCCAGGCTCAAAACTCTCATTTAGTCTGGGAATCGACAACTCAAGCAAATCTACATAAATACATGTCCTACAAAAACGATTCCTAAGAGTTGTTAGAAAATTCATCCTAACCTTCATACACATGAGTTCTTCGAAAAATATAAAGTATTACCAATCGAAAAAAATGTACGATTTTCGGCTTTCTAAACAATTTAAACAAGATGTCAAAACTAAATTATCGTTTCCAAAAGGGCTAACTTACAAAGCAATACTACAGCCTCCACAACACGCTAGAGTGAGCCTTGAAAATTTAGCACTCATAGGACAATCTGCGGTAAAGAGACGTTGAAAAAAAAAACCAAGATTACTAAGCAGATTAGCTGCCAAAAATGTCGAGCTTTTTGGTATTACGTTTAAAGCATTGCGTTGTTATTTCAGGCCCCAGTCGACATTTCTTACGTAAAAAATGTAGTGTAATATTATTAAACCTTGAGAGCTGTTGTGTATGTACGCGATCTTCTTTTTGTTGTAATTCCTTTCCAAAAGTCCTTCGTTTGCGTGGTTGTGACGTAACTTGACTCTGTCCATTTTTTTGCTTCATTTTTTTGCAATCGCTGCAAACTGTACCGGGGTGATTTCAGATAAGATCGACCAAAGGGTGGCTGGTCGACATTTTTGAATCAACTGATGTTTTTATATGACATTGTCTAGTGTCTGGTATAAACGAATCCACACTTAGTTTTGACCAGAAAAAAAATTTGGAGACAAGAAAAATCGTAAGGCAGGGAGAGGTGGACAGTTGCAATAACGCGCACTGATGGAGGGGTCAAGTTTGAAAGTGAATAATTAAAACACTAAAACTAGGAGAATTTTAAAACTTTTTGC